AGCTATTTACAGTCTTTATTCATTCCACAGATGTATTTCTACAGCAGATATATTGATCTCCTTAATTACAGGGCATGGCTATGAGCACTGGTGTAGGTGACATATCACATATGATACGACAGCATGTTCTTAAATTTGAAAAATTCTGACACTTAATACTAGAATATTTAAATTCAAACTATCCTGATATGTCTACATCAAGGGTTTTAAGTCTGATAACCACTTACACATTTTATGCAAGTCATTAGTATTCTCTTGTAATAACTTTTATTTCCATACCCAGTCACAAAATCAAGTATATATATAGACACACACACACACACACACACACACACACACACACTTTGAACTTACACTGATGTTTCTTTTCTTTTCTTTTTTTTTTTTTTTTTTTTTTTTTTGGTACCAGGGATGGAACTCGGGACCCTGCACTTTTCAGGCAAGCAGTTATTCTACTGAGCCATCTCCCTGGCCCCCATTGATGTTTCTTAAACTTCATGAACATGACATTGTTGAATGAGGATGTGTATATATTTACTTTCTAGTGAGAATGCCATGAAAATCTGTGAAAGAACCGTGCTTCCTATGTGATTAGTAGTGTGACATACAAAGTAAAATTTCAGCAGTAGAAGTATTTGCTCTGCATTGCAGAAAAATAGATCAGCTCATAAACACATATCAGTCATCAACTAACATATCAGATGAGGAATATCTGACAGGAGAGACTTTAGACGAAGGATTTATGTTTCACAATTGAGTGTTCCAGAGAAAGATAGTTGACATTATGTTTTCCAAACTTTGATCTACGCACATCTATGAGTACTTGTCAAAAATGAAGTCAGAGCTATATATGAATATTAATTTTATTTTTTAATGAAGATAATTATTATCAACATCAGGGGACATATGATAATCATATCAAGTTTCTCTACTTAAGACTTGCTTTACCTGTTTATATTTCCTCTTGTTATTAATACTATGTTATAATTCATTTTTCTATGCATAAAACATATGATACATATTTAATAATTTCTATATAACATTGAACATGCCCTTTTCATGGTTGCAAAATACTCACCAATAATACTTCAGTGCATGAACACATCTGTCCACAAGCAATTTACAAACAGAAGCATTGAGCAAAATTTTGCTTCTGTTCATGAACTTTCCATCAGGTGGCAAGCATGACCATGGCCATCTTCACCACACAAACATGAATGTGGCTGTCTTCCCCAGATTTGTGGAACAAATTAAATTCATGAACTGAGGCATCACTCTGCTATGCTATTTGCTATAATTTACCAGAGCAGTTTTGCTTTGTGAGAAGGAAATTGTTATGTAAAAATAGGCATTTGAATTCTGTATCTAAACAACAGCAACATGGCAGTCCTAAGAGTTTAAAGAAGGTGCAAGATCCAGGTATTGTTACTTCGGTGTAACAACATTGTGTGACTTTTATGGCTTATCAAAAACGTAACAGATTTTAGTTGAGGATACAGGTAGATGAGAGAACACACTAGACAAATGGCTAGACAGAATTATCTTTGCATGATTGGTTCTGACTTATTTTGATCCCATGAATTTTTAAACAATAATTTGTGAGGATGAATTTTAATATTCAGTTTCGATTTTGACAAGCACCGAAACACAAATTTCTTTTTTTCAAATTCAATTATTCTTGTTTCAGTTTCTTTTCGCCTGCTGCATCTGGAAGGGATAAAATATAACCACCTATGCTAAAATTGATGTTCACCATTTGAAAATGTTGTTGCTCTTGCGTCTTTTTTCCCTTTCTTTTTGAGAAATACTCTAGCCAAGAGAAAGGGATTTGCCAGAAGTAGGCAGGATAGGAATCTAGAGTGTTCCTACAATATTTGAATGGCAATGGAATACCCATCTCTGACAAAAGTAAACAAAAAAGGGGAATATAAATGAAGGACCATTTTGTAGTGAATATATCTATATCTATCTATATCTATATCTATCTTTATATACAAAATAGTTACCATATATATACAGCTACTTTCTCTTAGTTCAGTGAGAAGAAAGTTTTGAACTAATAGTGTTTAGACAAGATATCATGTCTGCATCTTGTACTATGAATAACTACTATAAAAACAACAATATGCAATGCATTAATTATTGTAACTGTCCTAATAACATGTTTTGAAACTGTCTCATTGCTACTTGTTTCTCAATAAAATTAATATTAAGAAAAAAGGAATCTAGGGTGCAGTGTTAGAATTGGACTGGAGGAAGCAGTTATCCTGACAATGGCCTGGTCAGTGTGAAAAGCCTGCAGAGTGGTACAAAATATCAAATATCCTGGATGAAAAATATAGAACATGCTATTGTTAGTCATATTTATGTGTACTTACTTCTTACCTCAAAGAAAGAAAATGTGTATGGCCTTTAGACTTCAGAGTCAATTGATCAAAATTCAGTGGGGCTCTTTTGGGAGTAACTCTTTATAGATGTGCAAATTTTGCCTGAGAGTCTTTTTCAAAGTGCATGAAGTATGTTTGAACACTTTACTGAGTTTTTACCAAACAAAGCTGTATGTACAGTATCGTTTATTTATATCACAGTAAAAGTGAACACCTCCCTATGAATGTTCAAGATGCACAGGTGGTGGAATCCTAAAGGATTCAGAAAGCAAGCAAGATGTAGAGTTACTTGACTGCTATGGCCTAAAACTGAGGGATACATGCACTGTGGATGAGTACCCTAGGCTGCACCTCTTTTTCCATGTTAGCTGGAGTTATATTTCTTGGTTCTTTTATAGTGAGAGATCTTAAGAATTTATTCCAAGAGCCGAACAATGTGCCTTCAGTTCTGGAGGAAATCACATACAGTTCCTGGCACTGGTTCAACAGTATGCATTCAAAGTTAGTGTTGTAAAGGATATTCATTACACCACAGATGAGCTTTGCATACACCAGGCTTTTCCTGACTTCACATAATTAACATTGTCCTTTTGTTTCTTTCAATATTTACATGGAAGGTCTATACTTAGAAACATCTTTCAATCCAACAAACAATGGTGGAGAATAAAGCACAAAACACAACTATGTCTCCCTTACACAACAAAAGCAAAGAGCACTATGTTGAAGATTTTTTATTATATCAAGTACATTTTAAAGCAATTATCTCATGTTATACTGTATAGTAAATTTTATGCAAAGATCACTTTAAGGAGAGTGAAAAATAATGCTGATCAAAAGAAGCCTTAATTTGTATCATCGCACTTGCAAAAGTGAGACAGAGCTAAGATTTCATCTTGACAAAACTAAGTGTAACAGATTTAAAGGTTGTAGTTGTATATTTTTGAAAAGAAGTCCAACCAGAACTATACCTCTGACTTTTTAGTCTTATGAATGATGCTGATGTCTTTCTTACTATAGAAATATCACATAGTTATTGTGAAGAATTCAGAATACCTAGGAAAATATAGAGAAATAAAAACAAAATCAATTACAATACCTCAGGAAGGCATAGTTATGTCCTTGGTGTGGCCAATGAGCCCTCCTTTTCTCCTGGAATTGTCAGTAGATTGGGGGTAAGTGCATGACTTAGGTGGGTAGAATAGGGCCAATGAGATTCAGTCTTTTTATTTCCCCTGAAACACTAGAACTTCTAGTCTCTCATAAAAGCTGAGCTGAATGATGGAGAGAAAAGACAAAGTCTTAAGACATGATGTCCTATTATGTAAAAGGCCAACAGTTTTTGGATTTTAAGTGAGCATTTTATTACTTGCTGCCTAAAGGTTTCTTGATAATCAATCCATTGAGTGAACTTCTGAACTATGAAACTACTGCAAGTAAGACCAACAGTTAGATTTCTTTATTCAGCTGTTCTGTATACTTAGCAAAGGAAAATAGGTAATTCTTGACCAAGACTTCAGCTGTATTTTACTTATATTGTATCTTATGATCATTGACACTAAAGTTACTGGATGTCAAATGGAAATGAATGAGAGAGGTTCTCTAAGTATATCAAAGATGGACTGGCAAGATTGCTCAGTTAACTAAGTGCCTGCTTAGGCAAGTGCAGGGACCAGGGTTTGAACCTTGGTACCACATGCTGCGTTGGCCACCCCCCCACACCCTAGGCACACTGAGCCTGCCACAGAGACTTGGGGTAGTGGCGCACACCTGTAACTCCAGCACTGGGGAGGTTGAAAATAGGAGGATCACTATGAGTACAATCTGCATAGTGAGACCCTATATCAAAAATAAAAATAATTATAATTAATAAAAATAATAATAAGTATGTCAAACATGTGACTCTGATAATACAAAATCTCTCCTCTCTTATTCAGGGAAGGCATTGTTAATCATTATACTTTGTCCAGTTGAACCTAAATTTGGCATCGGAATAATGATTCCAGTGCAGCATCTGGAATTCAGTGCAGCACTCCAGAAAAGTCAAAGAAATCCACTGGAGCCATTTCTCAAGACAAACTTATTTTCTACCCTTGCTAAGTTCATTCTCTCTCTCTCTCTCTCTCTCTCTCTCTCTCTCTCTCTCTCTGTCTCTGTGTGTGTGTGTGTGTGTGTGTGTGTCTCTCTCTCTCTCTCTCTCTCTCTCTCTCTCTCTCTCTGTGTCGCTGTCTCTCTCTCTCTCTCATATTTTGGGGAAGGGTCTACAGGGTGCTCAGGGTCTCACTACTAGATCAGTCTCATAGTGATCCACCTGTTTACAACCTGCTAAGAGCTTGGATTACAGGCATGAGCCACCACACCCAGTCTCAAGGGCCAGCATGGCAGGCCTGGGGATCAAATCCCCAGCCCCTGTGCCTGCTGGCAGGCACTTTAATCTGCTGAGCTAATTGGTCAGCCCTAAATTCATTCTCATTTTCAAGTTAGAGAAATGATGTGCATACCAAGTAGTTACAGGGTATGCTCATGATAGTGACCAGTAAGGAAGTTGCTCAGCTTGTCCAAGTAAGTTGTTTTCCTGGTTATCATTAACTTCTTACAGGTAGTTAAAATCATCTGTAAAAACTTCTCTGTGTGTCTGTATTATTGCTTGTACTTTAATAGCTTAGACAAATCATACAACATACTTTCCATTTTCCATTTAAAGCAATTCATACCTATTGAATTTTTCTTAATGATTGCAGTGTAATGGATCATCAATAACAATCTTAGTGAGATAGATATTTATAATATATGTGACAGTATTTTTTCACATGGTTTTGTCTTAGCTGGGTAGAGTTTTTGATCTTTTTTTATATGTATTTTTGCACAGGGTCTTACAGGGTCTCAGTACACAGATAGAACTCACAATGAGCCTCCTGGTTTCAGCCTCCCAAGTGCTGGGATTATAGGTGCATGCCACCATGCCTAGTGCCATTTGCTGTCTCAGCATGCTCCAAGGGTGGGGCCCGTATGGCATGCTCCAGATCTAAACCTGGTCCCTGTGCCCACCTAAGCAGGTGCTTTAGTATCCTGAGCTATCTGGTTGGCCCTTTGAATTTGTTATTCTTTGCTGAGCTCAGCTAAAGAATATTAAACTACATGAGATTGGGTCTGCTCGTTCAGTAGTCCAAGCATAACCGAGATGGCTTAACCATAAAAGAAATTTGAATTTTGGCTTACTTGATGTCTTCACTAGCTGAAGCAAGGGTCATAGCCACACTGAAGGTAAGAGGAGAGAGGTATACTCATCTTCCATAGCAAGGGCTCTATAGTCACAGGAAAAACACAAATAAGCAAAGAGTGAAAAATTAAGGCCAGTAATGCAATCTATCATCAGAAAGAAAAAGCATGAGACTATGAAAACATAGAAATGAAAGCAGGAATTGTTTTGAGGAAAAGCCTTCACTAGTGACATCTCTTTTTAAAAATTACATCTAATAACCAAGGGAAGAAAGTCATGAGCTTGCATGTATCAGGAATAGCTTGAGTACCTGTTCTCTGGAGGCTGGGAGAAAAGGCCATGGTACATTGAGAACAGGTTGCTAGGCCTATTCTCTTATGAAAAACGGAGTGCCACTGATTAGTGTTAATTAGAGAGCTCATGTAACACAGTTTGCTTTTGGAAATATCACTGGCTGCAGTGAACTCATTTGTAGGGGCCAGAGTGAAATCATAAGAGCAGACAGTAGAGAGGTGTATGATGTATGATTCTAGAAAAGACATGAATTTGATCCTACTTTAAAGAAGGTTAGGAGGAGTGAGAAATTAGAGAAATGAACACAGTGAGGAGAGAGTTTGAAAACAGAATCAATAACACGCAGCTCGTTATTACACCCAGCCTCCCCTTACTCCCTCTGCTTCAGCCACACTGATTTCCTTTCAGTTTCTTGTGCTCGCTGGGGCCCTTGTCCCACACAGGATCTTTGCTGTGTTACCTGCTATATTTAATACTCCCACCTCTGCAATCTTGACTTAATTCAGCTAGATGTGTCATTCAGATCTAAGCTCCAGTGACACCACTTGAGGGAAGGATTATATGCTCTTACAAAAAATGTTATGACATCACATGATGTGCTTCTTTTTCACGACACTAGATGCCATAACCATGTCACATTTGTTTTACAATTACTTCACTAGTCCCTATGTCTAGCTATTAGCTCTGAGCTCCATGAAGACATTATATTTGGATTTATTTATGTTCACAACTCTGAGCTCATTGACTCCGTATGTACTAGTTCCATAGTCTAAGTAGTCTGAAATAATGGTGAATGAAAGCTTTGGAATAGAGTTTGTGGTTTTATGTTGGGTGCATAAATACTTAAACTGATAATTATTGCTATGTGGTAAGAGTTTTTAAGTTAATTGAAGATTAGCAACAACTGGAATGAAAAGCAAAAAGCTGAAAACTAAAATTGGGAAAAATATGCAAAAAGAAGAATGAAATACCTGAGAATTTAAACCAAAATGAATATGCTACTCTACAAAAGCTTTGATGTCTACTGTAAGGACACTTCTGTCACCCGGTGAATATGGGCAATACTTTCTAGAGACAAGATTAAAAGTAAACTGCCGAGTTGCAATAAGAATCATATTACATTTATACTCCTACTAAATGACAAGAAGTCTGCTGGAGCAGAACTGAATAAAATTTACATTTGCTGTGGGGGCTTTCACTTTAATGTCATGTTCCCTCCAGGCAGTTGACAGAGGTCCTTAAAGCCCACTGAGAAGGGTTGAGGGTTATTTTTGAGCCTGCAGGTGCATGAAAGAGATTAGGCAGAGTATCCTGAAGTAGTCATGCAGCAAACAACAAATTGCAATATTCTGCCATCAGCATTGTGAGACCACAGCGTCCTACGCTGTACCAGAGGCCATTTAAGTCCCCATAAACTTTTTCTTCATCGTAGTTATTACTGGTGCCAAGTCCAGCTGTTTAGCACTTGAAAGCTGATACCCAGGAGGCAAGCTTCAGCGCAAAGGAAGTCCGTTCTACTCAAGGACTGGCCTTCTGAGAAGAGGAAACCGATGCCTTCAAGCCCCATTTTCGGGAACACAGGGGGCACAGAGGGCTTTTATAGTATGGGAAAGGATGTGTGGAAGACAACGGGCAGGAAGATTAAGGGCTTTGTGGCATTTTCATTATGCAAGGTTTGTGTCTTTTTTTTTCCCCCTGCTTTTCTGACCAGAGATCACAATGGTTCTCAGCCTCTTTGGGCTGGTTTAGATACACATAGCACTTTCCTGCAAGTGAAACCCAGCAGTAGTTATGCACCTCACATCAGTTACAGAATAGGGAGAAGTCCTACAAGTTCTTACATAAGGTGAAGATGACTGCATATTCTGGGTTCTGTAATTTAAAAAATATGATCATTTGGAAGTTGCCATATTAATCATGCAGATTCAACTGCTAGAATGCTGGCGAAAGGGAGGGGAAAACAATGTCCCTGTAAAGGACAATACTCAAAGCAGTGCCACTGCTGGATCATCTCCAAACCATACAGGATGGTGAATCCGTGTGGCTCATTGTTTTGTATTTCAGAGAACTTCTAGAGAAAACATGAGATGGAAAGATGGAAGAAACAAGTGGGACGTATTTGTAATTTAGGATTTTTTTTTAATGGCATTTGTACACGTGTGTTGTCATGGACTAGAAAGATAATGTTAATGCCCCAGAGCCAAGTATCTTTAGATTAGCAATGAATTTGCCAAAGTATTTTCTTGGTCTGCACAATCGCAGAAAAGTTATTTAGTGTGATGCAGCTCACTGTTCCATTTTCTTCTGCTTTATTCTCTGATTTACAGGATTTGCTTTCTCTCTCTTGTCCAGGGCTGTACAATTCAGAATCCTGAGAACTTCAGAGCAAGCATTTACTTATGAAATGTGAGATTTCTTTGAAAATGTGATGAAGAGCCATTTAAAGTTGTTTATAATGGCTTTTTCATGGAAGCAGTGTGTGGAAATTTTGGTCCTGGCATGTGTGCAGTGACTTCTATATAGCTTAATTCTTAAGCCTTTTTGTTTTGTTTTTCTTTGATAAAGAGTTCCAAGTGTGTACCCGTGCACTGCTTGGAGTTCCATGGTTCACCTGTGTTATGCTTTGTGTCTGGATTTCCCCACCCTCATGCAGACACAGGGCCGACTTCTCGAGTTTGTGCTTGACTCATGGTCTGGTGCTGGTACTATGAGTGTGAGTGCTATACCCAGTGTGGGGGTGCATAGCTGAAGTGCAGTATAAGGAAGGGAAGGAGGCTTCCTTTCTGCTGCCCCTCCTTTTTGCTCTTACTGCTTTTGCTGTTTTCCACCACCATGAATTGCTGCCTTCTGTCATATGCTGCTCTGCCTTGGAGTCAGCCAAATATGGACTGAAGTCTCCACAAATTGTGAGCTAAATAAACCTTCCTTGTTTAATTTTGGGTGTCATATTTTGTCCCAGGAACAAGAGAAAAATAACTAAGATAACCCAAATTCAATTTCTTTACTAAACACTATTTTTCCCTGTGAAGACCAGAAAAATTATGAATAAAACAAAACCAAAAATCCAAAAATAAATAAACAATTCTCCCAAACTTCATTATTAAAGCCATATAGAAAAGTACAAGAAAAATAAATAAAATGAAAATAATTTTCAATGATGAAAATGTACACATAGAGTCTGAAATATGCCATTTCTAAGTCACTATACCTAGAATGGTAAACTAGAGTTATAAAGTAGAGGTGTTTTGAGCTAAATCTGTAGATTTTTCTTAGCTATGGTTTGTCCCTTTCTGAATTCATGTGTAAATTTAATTGCCATTGTAATAGTATCAACAACTATGACTTTTTTATGTATTCAGTGTGGGGTCTACAGGGTCTCACTACACAGATTGCATCCGTAGTGATTCTCCTGTTTTTAGCCTTCCAAGTGCTGGGATTACAGGCATGCATCACCATGCCCAATCTCACTCGCTCTCTCAGCATGCCCTGGGGCTGTGGCTGGCATGACACTCTGGGTTTCTAATCCCGGTCCCTGCACCTGCCTAAGCAGGTGCTTTAATCCACTGAGCTATCTGGCCCACCTTAGAAGTATGATAGATAATTAGGCCATGATGTCTCTGCCTCCATGAACTGATCAGTGCAGTTATTCAGTTTCATTTGTAAAACTATAAATTTGGCCTGCTGTCTTTCCTGTCTGTTTTCCTGTCTGTCTACCTATCTATCTCTCTCTTTCTTATCTTTCTGCCTTTCACCAAAGGACAATTCAGTAAGAAATCCCTTGTCGTATACCAGTCCTTTGATTTCAAACTTTTCAGGTCCCAGAAATTTCTATTTGCTATGAGTTACTCAGCCCCAGATATCCTGGTACAGCAACACATAATGGCCTAAGATAGTCTTTCTCACCAGTTGTGCTCAATCACCTGAACTTGTAGACTCTAATTCCTGCTACCAGTGGAATAGGGAAGATATAAATGTGGTTTCATGATCCTACTATGGCAGCATCATTTTTCAACAAGAATTCTGATTTAATTTACTTATGAGGCCTTGAAGTCAAATACAGCAGTTACCATTATGTTTTTGCTCTGTGTCCAGGAGATTTGAGAAAAGCAGAAGTAATATGCTCTACCTTTCAGGAGCTTCCCATCCCTGAAGAAAAAATTTACAATGATGGATCGTCGCTGTGCAGATCTGCATTGTAACCTACCCATGCTCTAAGGTGATAGAATGGGAAGATGGATCCAGTGTAAAGGGTGTATGAACTTCAAAGGGCTGGGTGTTATGGAAGAAGAGATACATACAAGCACTGAAGGAAAGGCCTCCTTAGTAGTCACAGAATATGGTTACAGATAAAGTATGTAGATGTGAGATTGAAGGATAAGATGTAGGAAGTACTAGCAATGAAGAAAGAAGTAGTAGCATGAGGCTTGGACGCTGTGTTTGGCTCCTCTTTTAATGCTTGTAGCTTTCAGTTTTCTTAACTGAGAAGATGCTTTGATTGCTAGGAAAAGGAATTTAAGCCTATGCTGATCCGAAGAATGTATGGTAAATACGAAAAATGTTTGAGGAGCCTTAATAGGGTAACTAGCCAAAGATAGGAGGAATGGGATATTAGCATTCATAACCCAACAGAAAATTACTAGTGCAATTTAGTGTAAATAATGATGATCTAAAACAAAGATTGAGGGCCGGCCAAATAGCTCAGCGAATTAAAGGACCTGCAAACAGGCGCAGAGGCCAGGAGTTCTATCCCCGGGCCTGCCCTGCCGGCCCTGCCTCTGGGGTGCACTGAGACAGCAGTTGAGACTGGGCGTGGTGGCACATACCTATAATCCCAGCTCTTGGGAGGCTGTAAACAGGTGGATCACTACAAGTCCAATCTAGTAGTGAGACCCTGAATACCCTGTAGACCTTTCCCTAAAAAAATACAAAATAATAAATACATACATAAATAAAATAGAACAAAGATTGATTTTTTTCAGTAAAGGGAAAAGCTATAAAAAATTTTAGGCTTCTCAGGCCTGATGGTCTCTGTGGTAATTACTTCCATGATTACAGCAACTCTCAACACGTAAGTAAATATTTGTGTCAGGAAAGCAGCCTCATCCAGTATGTAAATGAATGACTGATTATTTTTCATTAAAAAATTGAACAAGGCAATACAACGATTTATAAAAACATGTAAAAGGCAGTATTTGGGCTACAGGTCACTGTTTCTGAACCATGGCTATACTCTGGTGGTAAAATGTAAATGAAAACAACAACAACAACAAACAGGGCTGGGGAGATAGCTTACCATAAGCTTCTGCCTGCTTATGGAGCTTAAGGCATATGGAGCTTGAGTTTGATCCCAGGTACCACATTCTGTGCTGGCATCACCTCTGGGCCCACTATGCTGGGCCTGGAATTGGGCATGGTGGCTCAGACCTGTAATCTCAGTGCTAGGGAGGCTGAGACAGGAAAAACACTACTAGTCTGAGCTATGTTGTGAGACCCTGTACCAAATAAATAAATAACAAAAAAAGAAAAGAAAAAATCAATTTCAGATATTGAAAAAGGAATTATTAGATTTTAATGCCTACCTGTACAAAAAAGATAGAAAAGATTTCAAGCAATAAATGGGGATTTGAGATAATCAGGGCAGGATTTATCAATATAGAAATGTTAATAACTTTCATAACAGTTATTTGGTGAAGGGGAATAAAGACTAAGGAGTCACATTTAGGGCAGCTTGGACCGGGGTCGGACCTGGCCTTTAGCATGGCACAGACAATCTGTTTCTTAATCTGGATGCTGATTATACTGGAGTGTAAGTCATAAAAATTTATGGCGCTGCACAATTATGCCTTTTGATTTTTATTCGTTTACATTATATGTCAATAAGTGTTAAGGAGATTGAAAGAGGAAGTAGAAATCAGCAGGATAAAAAGTAATATAATGAAAGAAGTAGGAGAAAAACCAGAAGAGGCACTAACTGGCAGGACCAAAAGTGGGAGTGAGGTTAGAGTGAGGGTGGAGAAGTGCCTTAAGCTCAGTGAGGAGCAAGGAGAGTAAAGGCCGCTGAACAGTAGCTAGAGTGGAGTGGTGTGGCTAGAAATTAGATTCTGAATTTTTTAGGCAGAATGGAACAGGTAGAGAGATTGAGTAGCTTATTTGAATACTCAAGGGCAATGCAAATAAATGACAAAAGATATATGGAAGAGAAAAAAAAGTTGGGCTTTTATTTTTTATTATTTTTAATAGGAATTGTTAGGCATGTTTGAGGAAAAAAGGAAAATAAGCCAATGTAGAACAGTGAAGTTGCTCTTCGGACCACGCCAGTCCTATAGATAGTGCTCCACTATTATGGGCTACTGGACTATATTGGATTATTTTGCTAAATTCACGCACCTACAATATTTAAATGGCAATGGAATACCCTTCTCTGACAACACTTAATAAAAAAAAAAGGGGACACAAATGAAGGACCATTTTTATCTGTATATACAAAATAGTTAGGCTAGATATACAGCTACTTTCTCTTAATTCAATGAGAAGAAAGATTTGTGCTAATAGTGTTTGGACAGGATACCATGTCTGCATCTTGTGCTATGCATAACCACTACAAAGACAGCAATATGCAATGTATAATCTATTGAAACTATCCTACTAATCAGTTTTGAAACTATCTCATTGCTATTTGTTTCTCAATAAAATTAATTAAAAATAATTATTATGATGGGGAATAGTGATATAGCTCAGTTGTGTAAGTGCCTGCCTGGCAAGTACAAAATCCTGAGTTCAATCATCACTACCAGAAAAATAAAATTATAATGGCCATGCAACATGTTGACATTAGAGAAATCTAAGTAATAGAATTTGATTGTGCACTATTTTTGTGTCTCATATTAAACTCTAAACTTCTTTCAAAGTAAGTTTTGAAAAGCCTACTGTGTCCCAAATACCTATAAAATAAAATCCAATTTCTTTACCGTGAAAAAAAAGAGAACACTGAAATTGTTATTAAGACGTGGAGAGGGGAGAGTTTCCGACTACCCTGCGCTGTTGGGACCAACTCCGGGTCCCAGCCCAGGCACAGCGTGGGTCAGACACTCTTTCACGCCCTTGGGACGCCCCCCACCACTCTGCAGTACCTCCCCTACCCGGCCGCCAAGTAGGAATTTCTGCCGCGATTTAGGAACCCCCAGACCCAGTCCTAGCCCAGGTCTGGCTCAACTCAGGCCAGCCATACAGGCCTGGGGTGTAACACTGCA